CCCCTGTTGAGCCAGTGCCAGCCTTTGCCCACCTACATCACACTGCTCACCCTGGGCTGCGTGGGTGCACTGTACCCAACCCATGGCATTTGCTGACTGGGACAAACAGCTCTCCATGAAACACCTGATCACCAGGACTGCCATGATGCTGCAGGAGGCATTACAGAGTAGTGTGATAGCCTCAAAAGGCAGCAAGGAGCGTAGTACAATGGCCGAGGGGAGCAGACAGGATGCTCACCCAATGACATGGCGGGGTTCCTTCTCCTGCACTGGGGCACCAATGCCCAGCTGGAGGCTGGGTGAAAGCCCATCCCTGGAGGACTTCATTCCAGCAACACACATAATGGAAGAACATCTCTCAACTCCCCACCAAACACCAGTCTTCAGAGTTAGCACCTACCCCATCAGTGAAGAAACTCCTTAGCATGCGGAGGCTGGGCACCCGGCTTGGCATCCTCCTGGAAGGAAAGCAGACACCAGTGAGCATGTGGCAGGAGGCGCACAGGTGGGAGGGGAGAAAAGTGTTCCCCAAAATGAGGGTCTGTCATCCCTTTGCCCTCAGCCCTGACTCCTCTTGGGATTTGGGCAGCTACAGAAGCAAGTGGCTGTGGTCATGACCAGTGTGAGGGACTCAGGACACTTAGCTTCTACCCCAAGTTTTGTGCTGGGACTATCAAAGGAAGACACAGCCAGTATATGGAGCTCTATGGATGCAGCTCTGCCTGATGGCTGTGTATCTGTAAGCAGCTCTGCTTTTGCCCCAGAGAGGGAATAAAGCATCCCCACAGTTGGCATTACAGCAAGGGGCTGGTTTGCATGGTTCTTTTGCAAAGCCCCTTGCATCAGCTTAGATTTAGATGCTCAACATGGCCTGCAGGAAGGATGCCATTTGGGAGGTCCCAGCTCTGCTGCTGGTTCTCTGTGAGGCCTCCAGCGAATCACTGCAGACTGATCTTTCCAAAGTGACCTGCCACCTCCATCAAGCCATGAGGGCAAACTCCAGTGTGGGTCACAGCATAAAGGATTCTGGGATATGGAGTGGCAATACTTCTATCAAGTACAGTATTTAGCCTCACACCTTGGTAGATTAGCCTGGCTCTCCATCTCCCTCCTTGCTGTAAAGGACCATGTTACTGACCCATCAAACCAACCACTAGCCAAGAGCCGGGGCTGCAGGAAGAACTAAGCGCTCTTGCTCCCATAATGCACAGCTGCTGGACAAGGGTTGACACCCTGATGCTTGCAAAGTACGAGGACAGGGCAGAAATGTCCCTGTGAGGGGTCAGAGCTGTTTGCTTGCTAGCCTCCCCAGCTGGTGAGGGGCAAGCCTTACCTTAGGATCTTCCCCTCATCGCGAAATGTGTTGAGACCATCGTCGCATGACTTAGAGCGCTCTGTTGTGATGGCCAGGAGGTAGGAGGAGCGGCGGCTGGCTTTGATGCTACCTGGGATGAAACAAAAGAGAAAAGGGCACTCATTACAGAGAGATGCAGTTCTCCCCCAAGAAGGGGAGAGAGACAGAAAGAGAAACTCTCGCTAGCCGGTCTGGGCTTTACTACCACCAAAAATGGGTTAGCTCAGGAGGTAGTACTGAGGGCTGGGGAACTGGACACCTCAGTTCCTTACCCATCTCTGGGAGAAAAAGTGATCTGAGTGGAAATCAGGGGCCCTGTGTTCCTGTTCTGGGCTCTGCTGGCATTTTGCTAAATGACTTTAAGCAAGCTGGAGAGAGCCCAAAGCAGAGCAGCGAGGATGATAAGAGGGTTAGAAAGGAAATGCTGAAGAATCCGGGTTTGTTTAGTCTGCACAGAAAAAGAATCAGGAAGGAGGGAATGCAGGGGAGAGTGTGGG